TTTTTTTACCTTTATCCGGACCTCGAGAGGTCGCGGGCTCACCTGCCTCCACGTCGACGTCGTTGCTCTGCGGTGTAGGCTCATCGTCCCCGTCCAGATTATCCAGATTTGCTTCATCAATATCTTCGAATACACTATCAAGAGTGGGGAGATTTGCGTCCCCTCTACCAGAATAAATCTGGTCGAATTCTTCATCCGTCATAGCGTCCCCGATTAAGTGATGATAGTAGGAAAGGAAGAGACGGAGTGTCTTCCTCGAGAAACGCGTGAGGTCGAACCGTCGGAGGTGACTTTTGCTTTGCCTCTACTCGAACTTCGGTTCACGGCGCCCATATCCACGGACCTTCTACCGGACTCTCTCGACATTTTAATATATATATATATTTTGATCTAAAAAAATAATATATTAAATTTCGAAACTTTAAAAAAAATTCGAAATTTTATATATAAAAATTTCTAAAATTTCAAAAAAAAATAGAGAATATATTTAAAATATATATTATATATTTTTTGATATTAAAGAAATATTAAATTTCAAAAATTTCAAATAATTTCGAAATTTTTTATATTAAAATATAATATATTTAAAAAAATGTATAAAAGAGATAATAAGATATTAAGATTGAGAAATTAAAATGATAGATTGAGATATTGAAATTTGAGAGAATAGAGATTAGAGAGTAAGAGAGATGGATATGGATTGATGAGTGTGATTTTTTTAGAATTTAGAAGAAAAAATGGGTATTTATAAAAAAAATAACCCCCCTCCCCACGGCCAATTAGCCGTTTTGGCCGCCCCCCCCCCCCACTAACTTTGTTTTTTTTGCAGGTTACCGTTGGAGAGCAAAAAGGAGAAAAATAAAAAATAAAAATAAAAATAAAACCGGTACCGGAACCGGCACTGGTACCGGCGGTGCCGGTAACGATTTTGGGGCACCGGAACTGAGACCGGATGTGGCGGTACCGGTGCCGGTTCTCGGAACCGTTTCGCCGTCCCGGTTGCCGTTACGGTGCTCGGTACCGGCGGTACCGTTTCCGGTGACGGTACCGAACCGGTACCGTGTCCAGCCCTAATTCATACACACCCAAATAGATTGTAAAATATAATGTTACTGCACATTTTTTTCATTGTATGTTTTGTTCTTATCTAAACCGAGGTAACATAAGTTACATAAAAAAAATTAGTTCACGCTCAATTTGCGAATTGGCGCTTTGGGTATTAATTCACGCTCTAGTAACTGATAAGACGCGATTTAGTATTTGATAATTCTCGCACTATAATTTTATAGTTCTCGATTTAGTACATTACTAGTGCTACTAAAACCTCTTAGTTCTTTAGTGATCCCTCTTTATTGCCATATATTAAAAAGATTATTATGTATGCTTTATTTAAAATATTACTTCATGTGTTCATAGTTATTCATTTCATTCAAGTTACGATGTGATATTTCTATAATTTAATTTATTTAAATATTCAGATAAAATTTAAAAACAAATTTAAATATGAAAAAATATATAAAAAATCTTCTAATCAGGAGATAGTTTAATTATTTTATTATTAATAATATACCGATAAAGAGATATTTTCATTTTTAACTAACCAATTACATACAAAAATTTTACTAATATCTTATTAAATATTTTCCTTGACAAATTATACTTATTAAGTTGACTTTTTAAAATCTTTGTCACCAACGAAACAAAATTTACATGTACTAATAATGAAATAAATTTGTAAATGGTGTTTAAAAGATAACTCTTAAAAAATCATCTTTATATTAACTAAGGAATACAATTTTTATTTAATTCTTGATCAAACACTATTGTAGTATTCAAAAACATTTTTGGTAAATGTATTTTTTTCTTTACGAATATGTAGTAAGAAACTAGAAATTGGTTTTCTTTTTTTCGTTTACAAAGTTTGTAAGAATTTTTTATTTTTCTTTTTTATTCTTTAGAATTTCATATAATTTGTTTTTCTTATAAACTTGATAAGAATTTGACCTAATCGTAAACTTGATGAGAATTTCACCTAATTGTATACTTGATACGAATTTTCTTATAGACTTGATAAGCATTTCACCTAATCAAATTAATTCAATTTGATTAAAAAATCAAATTAAATAAATACTTTGAGGCAAAGTGAGGATATTTTGTGCATAAGGTAAGCATGATTAGTCTTTAAATGGATTATTTTAAAAGAAAAAAGAATTTAAAATTTAAGAGATTGATGATGAGTAGGATACATTCTGTATATTGTTCGATATTATTAACATCATAGAAATATGGGTAATATTGAAGTACACATGGTGACATAAATATGTTTTTTTATTTGTTTTCAATTGACAACGCTCCAAGAAATCCCCGCCCACATTCATTCTATTTTAAAGTTTAACACTTTCGTGCACCCGCATGTGCACTCACACTCGATCTTGCTTTCACTTTATGTGCTCTACATCCAAACTACATTGAGTCTTACTCTTGTCGTTAGCTTCATCAATGGAAAACACCATTCAACTCGTTGTACGATATATATTGTATCTTGAAAAGGTAAAAGATTGTAGAATACAATTTTTTTTAAATCTATAGCTTTTATAGGTAAAAGAAGTAGGAGTAATGAATTTTTGAATTTTTTATTCCAAAACTTCAATTCTCTAGTTTTAATTTTGGAACCTTGAGAATGAGAGAAGTTTAATCAAAATTCAAGTCTAAATTTATTTTTTGCATTCTCAAATACTTTTTAAGTAATTTAAGTCAAATCTAAATTTAAAAATAAAATCTAAATTTCCAAATAGGGATTTTTTTTATGATTTTTAATGGTTTAAGTTACGTGAAAAATATTAATGCAAAACAACGTCAAACACTCAAAGTCTTACCCGACGAGCACAAAATCTATTGAATTTGGTGGGTTAAACTAAGAGGTGTGAATCATATATAGATTTATTTTCATATTCTATAATCATGAATTTGCGTTCATTTTTTTTTTAAATATCAAGTAACTCTCTATAAAGTCATGACTTTTATTCACATTTTCAAAGTAATTGATTTTCTTTTGATGACCTTTTTGATGTGTAAAAGTCCAGAAATTCTAATTTGAAGGGATTTATAAATTTTGTTAAATATAAATACACATAATAATAAATAAAAAGAAAGCACTCTACTCAACAATATAATAAATATATCACCCCAACCAAGTGTGACAACAATAATAACAACATTTCTTATTAGTAAACTAAATAATGCATACGTTTTTTTTAAATTTTCATCATTGACATTTTATTGATCTATTGTCCAAGTAATTCACATGTTTCAATTTATAGCTTCTTTCTCTTATGGTCATTATATTCAACTCGATTTGTCCATTGTAATGTTAGGAAGTGAACTCTTCACTACTTCGTGTATGTAAACAAAAAGAGTTATTTTAATAACCATAAAATTTCACACATAAATGGAGTAAATAATTTAAATAAAGGAGTTTAAAGATATAAAACCAAAATTGAAAACATTTAAAGGGAAAAGAAGGATGCGAGACCATTGAGCTTTTATCCCACACCGTTTCGCTGGGGAAAGATAAATATTTTGAAACATTATAAATAAGGCGGCCTTTACTGACTGTTAACCATACCTTTCTCGGCCTTTTGGCTAAGATCAAGTGTAGTATCTGTTCTTATCAGTTTAATATCTGATATGTAGGCCAATGGCCTACACGATATTAACTCAATTTTTTAAGGGGAAGGCCCATCATAGTAGCTTGCTACTTGGGCCTTTACGAGTCGCCTTGGGCTTGCACTGCTTCCTTGGCCCGGCAGGCCCCACCAAATAACATTAAAGTTTTGTTTGAAGTTTCGACTCATTTTATTGTTTAATAATTTTGTTCAGGAAATATTTTCATTTATTTAACCTACCCCGGTTTATTTTTGAACTTCATCTTAGGGTTCCGCTTATATGGAGTATTTTATAATTTGCATATCGTTAATCCATTCTTTTAAAAACAGTGACACAAAGACATCAACATCGTCTTCATTAATTTTTTAATTGAAAATAACCCTTATAAGAAATTTAATACTTTATTTTATTAATTTTAAATTAATAGAATAGTTTTAATAAAAAAATAATTAATGCGACCGAGTTAACATAATTTTTTTTAGTTCATGCTCAATTTGTGAATTGGCACTTTGGTTGTTAATTCACGCTCTAGTAATTGATAAGGTGCGATTTTGTATTTGATAATTCTCGCACTATAATTTCATAGTTCTCGATTTAGTACATTACGAGTGCTACTAAAACCTCTTAGTTCTTTAGTCTACTTATCCCTCTGTATTGCCATATTAAAAAGATTCTCATGTAAGCTTTATTTAAAATATTACTCCATGTATTCGTAATCCCTCTTTTCATGCGCGTTACTATGTGATATTTCTATAATTTAATTTATTTGAATATTCATATAAAATTAAAAAAAAACAAATTTAAGCATTTAAAAAGTATATAAAAAATCTACTAATCAAGAGATAGTTTAATTATTTTACGATTAAGAGTATACCGATAAAGAAAGGTTTAAACATATTTTTTATGTATGGAGTATTAAGAAAGGTTTTACATACAGAATATGATTTGTTTTGTTTGCTATTTTTATTTATTTTTTAATACTTTTTCAAACTAGCATATTTTTTTTCCTTTTTTCTTATTATGTACTCTCGGTAATTATTTTTTATTTGTTTTGTTTGTTTATTTCTATATATTTTTTAAATTTGGCCAAACTAGCAGGTTTTTTCTTTTCTCTAGTTATGTGTTCTCGGTGATTATTTTTTTCGTATATTGTTACGTAATATATTTGTCATTATTTATTTTCATATATAGAGTATATTTTTATTAAAATCCAGAAATTTACTAATTATAATAAAATATTACTTCGTAATTAACACATTAGGAGGTATGTCCAAAAATGTAATTTACATTATAAACAATTATTTGTGAACAACCATATTTGCCAAATAGTTTTTTGCTAACAGCTAAAAGAATCTGCTAGTCAAAACGGTGAATTCAATTAGTCATTCAACCCAGCCAATAGCCAAAAGCTATTTTCAAACACGACCTATATGTTTTTCTATTTGTTTTCAATTGATGATGCTCTAAATAATCCCCGCACTCATTATATTTTAAACTTTAGCGCTTTCGTGCACCCGCATCTGCACTCGAACTCACAATCACTTTATGTGATCTACATTCAAACCACATTGAGTCTTACTCTTTTCGTTAGCTGCATCAATGAAATGTGTATTTATTTCAATAAAGACTAACAATTTGTGTAAAATAAATGTTTAATACTATACTTCCATTCGAGGAATATTGTAGCGTAGTATTGTACATAAATTTTTGAACCTCCGAAAGTTCGCTGAATTGTCAATCTAAAGAGCAATT